CGATAAGGGCGCTGGTCACGCGGCCGGAGCTGGCGCTGTGCCTGCTGACAGAGGTGAAGCGCGGGGGCCAATCTGGGGGAGCGCGTGGCCAATCGTCCTAACTGTCGCCTGTCGGGCTTTTGCAGCCCCGCCGGTAGTCTCCCTGGGGGAGAGATTAAGGGGAAGAGCGCGTCAGGAGTGCGTGCGCCGCTGTCCCCCCCCCCTGGGGTGCCGCAGCACCCCTTTGCCCCCAGCGCCCGCCCCAGGTTGATGCCAAGCGGGCCACGGGGGACGACTCCGGTCCCCGTGCGGGCCAGGCGCCAGCGCTTGCAGCATGGCGCGCCCGCCGCCCTGCTTCTCAGCACACGCAGTCGGCGCCCGCTCCTCTTCCAGGTGGCTTACGAGCATGATGAGGACTTCGAGGCCCACTTGGCGCTGCTGCTGCACGTGGTGGCGCTGGCCATGGACAGCGAAGAGCCCCTGGTTGTCGGCGCCGCGCAGGCGAGCCCTGCAGTTCGTGCGATGGAAAGCCCAAAACCCCGGCCGCCGCTCGGCCTGAACCCTAGCCACGGCTCGGATTGCGCAAGGAGGGGTGTTCGGGAGCCGTAGGGCTTGCCGTGCTGGGGGTCGGGGCGGTGCGGTATCGCGATGACGGGGGCCGCGTGGCCGCGTGGACACTCGCACCCTGCAGTCGTCGCCTCGTCGAACATCGAGCGGCCGCCCGCGCCCCCACCCCCCTCCAACAACCCGTGCAGGCGCTGCTGGTCAACACTCTGTACAGCCTCAGCGCGCGCCACATAGAGCTGCGGCACGCGGAGGGCCTGCCCGCAGAGGTGGCGCAGGTGCGCCAGGCCGCCCCTGCGGTGCCGTCCTCGGAGCCCCACCGCAACAGGGCCGGTGTTCCCCCTCCTTGTCAGCCCCCAGCTCTCAAGCAACCACGCGCGCTCTTTGCCTTCTTGCTCGGCTTGTTTTGAAGTGAAGATAACAAAGAGCCCATCCCTGAAACGCTCCCTCTCTTCTGGTTGCTAGCATGCTCCCAAGAACCCCGGGAACCCGCCCGCAACCGCCCCGACCCCGGCCCACCGGACCCAACCAGGTCACCGCCCTCATCCAGTACCTGCAGTCCCTCCGCGGCCGCCGCCTCTGGCCCAACGAGCACCCCACCCTGGAGCGCCCCCAGCCGCCGAGCGCGGCCGCGCTCGCGTCCCTGGTGGACCACCTGCTGGCCGCGCTGGCCTTCGAGCCGCGGCTGCGGGAGGAGTGGTGCGAGGTGGCGCTCGAATGGGCGCTGCACTGCCGCGGGCGCCACGCGTCGAGCAGGTCGCAGCAGGTGGGGCGGGGGGCCGGGACCGGAAGCCGTGGGGGCGGCGGGGCCCGCGCGAACGAGAGCAGCGTGGTGATGGGTGTGCGTGACGCGCCCTTGGGGGTGAACGGGCGCGACGGTGAACGGTGGTGAGAGGCACAGCAGGGGCAGGCCGGCTGTGCATTCGCCCTCCTCCAGACTCCAGCACGAGGGGTTGTGCAAACCAGTGCTCGTGTGCGTGTGTTACGACGCCGCCGGACGTGCACGGCTCAACCTTCACTGTGCCCATGCGCGCCCGTGCACGCCGCCGTGCGCTGCAGGTGCTGCGCACTCTGGCGCCGCCGCTGACGGGGGACCTCTGCGGCACGCTGCTGCGCTGCATGCTGCAGTGCCTCGAGCCCGGACTGCAGGTGCGGCCCCTGGGCACATGCCGCGCCTCTGCTGCCGTGCCTAATCCCGTCAACACAATCACAACCGATTTGATGAGATGAACCTCACTGCTGCGCTGTTTGGGGCCCCACAAGACACTTTGTTTTCATATTGGTATCTGTATATTGATGCACGCCAGATCTCGCCTGCAAGACATGGCACACACCAATGCCGCCTAATGACAGTCACCCTGGCGGAGCCCCTCCAAACCCCCAAAATTGCCCTTCACAAACCCCCGAAACCGCCCGCACCGCCGCCCTGCCCCGCCCCGCCGCCCAGTCGCCTGTCGCGCGAGAGACTCTGCTGGAGTTGGTGCTCACGCTGACGGCGCTGGTGCGCGCGCTGCCGCCCGGCAGGCTCGTGCTGTTCCCCCAGGTGCGCGCGCGCACGCGCCCCCACGCCGCCCGTCCGCCGCAGCTGCTGCCCCGACGCTCGCACTGCTGCAACTTCGCTGCGCCGCGCCGCGCTGCTTCGGTGCGCTGCGGCGCCGGCCTGCACCCTCGGCAGCCTGCATGGGGGCAACACAGGGAAAAGGACACCCGCCGCGGTGTGGCACGCGAAAGCGGCCCTCAACCCAGCTCGTGGCACCCAACGAGGTTGAGCCAAAGCCCCCAACCCAGCCCCGCTACGTTGACCGCCGCCCCGCCCTGCCCGCCGCGGCCTTGCGCCACTGTCGCGTCACCATTGACCAGGTCTTGTGGGCGGCGCTCGCGCTGCTGTCGAGCGATTACGTGCACGTGTTCCGCGGCGCCGTCGAGCTCGCGTCGGAGTGCCTCGCGCGGCTGGCGCTGCAGGACGCGACGGTGCAGGGCGTGCTGCTGGCCAGCGCGCCGATCGTCGATCCTGACGCGGAAAACACGCCCAATGGCAGCGGGGGCGGGCGCGGCGGCGAGGCGGCGGCTCTCGCGGGCCTCGCGGGCGATGCGCCTGGCGGCGGCGGCGGCGGGGCCGGGAGCTGGGGCAGCGCGCCGGGGTCGCGGCGGGGGTCCAGCAGCGACGCGGCGGCCGGCTGCGGCGCGGGCG